CCCCCACCCCACGATCACCCCAAAGCCCCCCCCCCGAAAGAGAGCCTTGGACCTGCAAGGGGAGAGAGAGAGAGAGAGAGAGCGGGGTTTGCGAAGCTGGCCAGCCCGAAGCACAGCTGATGGGGGGTGTTTGCAAAGATCGCGGGGAAGCCAGCTTCGCAAACCCTCCACTCTCTCTCTCTCTCCACCCCTTGCAGGTCCAGCCTGGGCGGGAAGACTGAGGCTAGGGTCTCCCTGCCCAGGCTGGAGTTGCGAGGGGGGGGAGAGAGAGCAGGTGCGCACGCCGAAGTCGGCAGGGGGTTTGCGAAGCTGGCTTCCCCATCATCAGAGCCAGCCCGAAGCACAGCTGATGGGCAGGTGTTTACAAAGATCGTGGGGAAGCCAGCTTCGCAGCTGTGCTTCAGGCTCTCTTTCGGCGGGGCCTTTGGGACGATCCTGGGGAAGCGCTTCCCCACGATCATCGCAAAGCGATTTCCCCCCATTTAAAACATCGCAATGCGATTGCTTTTGTAATCGCAAATACTCCATCGCTATGCGGATTCATCGTTAAACGGGCGCTCGTTAAGCGAGGCACCACTGTAATATAATGCATTCCACACATGAGGAGCAGAGTTGTGTGTAAAAGCCATTGGTGTGCATTTGGTAAAGTGTATAAATATGTTGTTTGCTAGGGTTGAAGATGGTGTAGGATAAAACTAATGCAGCAATAATAAGCTTTAGAATAAGATAACGATGGGTATTTAGTGAGCTATCTGGAATAAATAGCAGTTAAAAAAAATAAAGACATTACTAAAACTCTACTGACAAAAGTTTCATGTGAAACAAGGATCTAAAACTTAGGACATGATTGAAATAAAATTGTAGCTTCCATGATATTTATCTATTTATTGAATACTACTAATATTTTCATTATTCCAGAGTGAAAACTTTGATGGATTTGTGATTGAAGTTTGGAGTCAGCTGGGAAATCAAAAGCAAACGTAAGTTATATGTGTCTATCAAACCACTCAAGCCCTGTGAACAATTGTAAGCATTTCATACATTGGAGCTAGTTTCATTATAAGCATTGGGACTCATCTCAGAGTAAACGGGCTAAAGAACATAATGCAAGTAAGTAATGGTCTCCAGAGTGCATGCCACTGAGTTGTTTTCAGTCATACTTCATAGAGGTGTGGGAACTTCTTCAGTGTGTTTTGTAATAAATATAAGAAAAATTAAGCTGCATTGTAGAAACCCACAACTGTGGCTTCTGGAAATTGGGGTGACACTGGTCCAGAAAGAAATTGAGGTGTGGGTACCTTCCACATGGCCTTGATTTTCTCAAGTTACGGAGTGGGGCATGGTCAGGGTGGCTAACCAGAGTGGGCTCACCCCTTCAGAGCCCGTGGCACTTATCAGCAAGCCCCCAGTAGCCTGGTATGGGCACCTTGGGACCAGTCAGGGAAGAAGGATCCAGGCAGGTACCAACAACAGAGGGCACTGGGGCAGCTGGCTTGGAGGAAAAGATCTGCTCACTAGTGGGAGGTGCGGACTGTAGTAGCATATTTCTTTTCCCATGAAAGTAGAGAATAGAGTAAGTGGTGCTTTGATTTATGAATCTCCCAATTTACGACCATTTCGAGATACAACCAGCTCCGGCTGCAAAATTTTGCTTTGACTTGCGGCCGGAGCTACCATTTGCGAACAGAAAAAGGCAAGGAAAAAAGGCGGGAAATTCAAATTGCTAACTGTTGGTAGGGGAAGAGGCTGCTTCTTTGTAGCTCTTTCACTCCAATGGTTAGAGTGAGTGCAATCGGAGGAGACTTCAGACTACCTGGTAAGGTAAGGTGCTGCTTTCTGGTTTTTAAAAACTGTTCTGGGTGGGTTTTGCAGTGTGGTTTTGGGCTGAGGGGGTTATGTTTCCGCACTGTGATAGTTCTTGGGGGGGGGTTGTTTGTTTTTTCATTTCTGATGGGTCTTGGGGGTTTCTTTGCTTTTTGGGTCCCCCCTTTCCAATGGGTCTTGGAGGGTTTGCTTGCTTTTTGCTTTGCTTTCTTTGCATTTCCGATGGATCTTGGATGCTTCGCTTGTTCTCTGCTTTGCTTTCTTTGCATTTCTGATGGGTCTTGGATGCTTTGCTTGCTTTCTGCTTTGACTTTTTTGCATTTCTGTTGGGTCTTGCACACTTCATTTGCTTTTCTCCCCCCCCTTTGGCCAGAAGGGATTAATCGCATTTCCGATGGATCTTGCAGTGATTTTATTTTGATGATTTTTTTCCCTTTGGCCGGAACAGATTAATTGCATTTTAATGCATTCCTATGAGAAATGGTGCTTTGACTTACGACCATTTCAAGTTACGACCGGAGTTCTGGAACCAATTAAGTTTATAAGTCGAGGCAGCACTGTACCCAAAACAACTGTTACTATTTTGGAGGGACCCCTGTTATAGGATCCCTTTGTATTAGCCGAGTGGCTACAGAAATGGTTCCTGTGGGCATTTAAACCAATGTTGTTTCTCTGCTCTCTGCAGTTATAAACCAGGCAGAAGCTGAACTTTGAAGGAAAAGAGTAATATTTATTTAGAAAACATATTGACAGGACAGGCTGATTTCAAATCTAGATAGCTGACAATGGGGTAGACTGGAATACATGGCCTGAGGGGGGGTTTATAAAAGTCACTCTCAAGAGAGAAATATTAACAGGTCACAAGGAAGAGAGACATAGGAAATGGTAGGTCTTTTCTTTTCTTTGGGAAAACAGGTCAGCAGAAAAACAGCCATTTAAAAGGCCAGACACAACTGCAGGAGTATACCGGATACCTTGCAGTTGTGGCCAGGTATATATTGGAACCACAAAATGAAGCATCCACACCAGAATCAAAGAACATTAGAGACACTGCAGACTAAAACAACCAGAAAAATCAGCAGTAGCTGAACATGCCCTAAAACAAGCTGGACATGAAATTCTATTTCAAAATACTGAAATACTGGACAACACCTGCAATCATTACGTTAGACTGCACAGGGAAGCCATTGAAATCCACAAACATCAGCAGGACTTCAACAAAAAAGAAGAAAGTTTGAAACTCAACAAAACTTGGCTCCCAGCACTGAAAAATACAGCGTGCAAAACGTCAATGAACTCTAGCCAGCCACAAGGACCGGTGATCACTACACACAGAAGACCAACGAACAACACCCATCAGTCACAGTGACAGATAATCTCTTCTTATCACAGCAATACACCCACAACAAAAACACACTGATCACCATAATCGCCCATCTCCTGCAAAGGACAAAAGCTGCTCTCACAAGCCATAAATACTCAACTCCCAAACAAACTGCACCAGAGCACAGAGTGCTGTTCTCTGAAGATGCTGGCCACAGAGACTGGTGAAACGTTATGAAGAACAACCTTCAGAACACGGCCAAAGAGCTGTGGAGGGAGAAAAAAAGAAGGAATTATTCTCTGCCTGCTACAGAGTACAGTATGCAAAGGTAGGGACCTAGGTTCCAATCCTACACACACTTCCCCAGGAATAAGCCCCACTGAACACAGCAAAGCTTATTTCCAAGATGTGCAGGTGCATGATAATAATAATAACCTTAGAATTGCAGAGCCCATGGATCATCAAGTCTAGCTCCTGTAAAGGAGTCACTGTGGGGAATTGAACCCCCAACTTCTACCTTTGCAGCCAGGGACCCAAATCATTGAGCTGTCCAGATTCTGGCCAACACAAAAGTTGCCAACCAACATGTGCAACCCCTGACTATAGAAGCACAGGCCAAAAGCCTGAACCATGTCATATCAACAACATGGATAGTCAACCCCTCAATCAGTAGTTTTTCCCTTCTGAAGGCAATGCATCACACTTCAGTTAAAGAAATTGTGTGTGTGATCTACCTGCATTGACTTAATTCATGCACTTCTCACTTTCACTGAAAGTAGCTACCAAGAATGCTACAATCTGGAGGAAATCCTACTGTCATATTTAAGAACCACATCATGGCAAAGTGAGTACACCTTACTTAAGGCATTGCTTTCTCAGGCAGGTGAAAAAAACATGCAGAAACCACAAATCTTACTCTTTCAAGCAAAGTGACAGGCTTTTGGTGCCTTGAAACGGGTGGACAAGAGCAATCAAGGGATTAATTTTTATCTTGGTAAAGGCTTTGATTGTAACACCTAGGCTTTCTTTGATGACATATTGTAGCTATTTTGTTAAAACCAATGAACTGCTGTAGCCAGATTGTAATGTGCAAAAGGAGAGTGAAGTAAGATGACAGTGAGAAAGGAAGCAAAATTACTGGATTTACTGAGCATTTTTTCCATTTTTCCATGCTACCTGTCAGTCAATCCTTCCTTCCTTCCACTGCCCCATATATGGTGCACACATTCTCTGCGCAGTTTGTAATACAATAAAACACATATAAAAACAAGAAATACCCAAAAGTAAAGATATAAAATAGATAAAAGTTTTAGCATCTAATTAAAACTTAATTTTCAGTAAAATTAAATGGATTACAATAGATTTGAACATCTCAGCTAGTTAATAAAAGGCTTTAAATAATTTCTTAAACATGGTGAGGGAAGGAGCCTGACAAGCCTCTGTTTGAAGTTTATTCCTAAGGGAAGGGGCGACAACTGAAAAAGCACTCTTGACCTCCTTCAGTGTCACCATTTTTAACATCACAGACTGCAAAAGAGTGGGTGGGATGCGTAGCTGTTTTGTGGCAGAGACTTTCTGACAGATATCAAGGCCCTAAACTGTTAAGGCTTTATAGGTCATGACTAGAAATGAGCATTTGTGCCCCTTTGTCACAAGTTGTCTGGCCACTCAATGATGTCAATACGAATCCAAGGCAGACCTTTCAACATCACAATAATCCACGTTTATGCACCAACCTCCATTGCTGAGGAGACTGAAATTGAA